GGTCTCGTGTCTTTGTGTTAAATAGCTATGTCTTTATTATCCCTGCGTGCTGAGAAGGAAGGAGGAGAGCCAATGTGGCTTTATTTCTCTAACAGGTCTTTTAATAATAATACTTTCCATGTTGGTGGAATAGATCTCCTGGCCCTTCTATTAAGTCACAAAGAATAGAGAACTGAAAGCAAGAAGGAAGGGGTTACTCCATAGGAATAAGACATTTCACAGGAGTTTGCTTTATTCTTTTGCCAGTGTAAACTCCTCCCCCCCTCCCTTTCAATTCTTTTGTATAGTTGTTTGGTTTGCTTTGTTGTTGGTTTTCTTTTTTTTGTTTGTTTAAAGAAAGCATGCAAGCTAAGGCTTTTTCCATGAACAAAATATGACCTTTGACAAAGTGTATACCCCCGAGTTACTGAGCTCTACCAGGGAAGCAGGGTTCCCTGCAGCCTTCTGGGGGGCAGCCCATTCCCTGCACTACCCAGGACATCAGGCTGGGCAATGCCAGTGGTGCCTTCTGACCTCTTCTGTTTGTGTGGTCTGTTGCAATGCATTTTTTTTTGAAAAACAAAAAGCCCACTCTTCAAAAGCTGCTTGGGAGGAAAGTTTATTTTATGGAGTGTTTCTCACTTCTCTCAGAAACGATGGGGGAAGGAAGGTCTATCAATTCTTGAAAAAAACAGGTAGAGAGAGCAGGGTTTTTTTCCCCCGTCCCTTGGAAATGCGTTGTTCTTTTAATAGAGAAAGGAATGTGCTGTTGGCAGGGGCACGGCAGAAGGGCTGGTGAGGATCTGACACGAGAATCTGCACAGCCTTTGGAATAAACAGGGACAGATGCACCAGGGAGGAGTTTGGGCTGGTTAGGTGAAGGAAGACACGCGCTGCCCAGCGGCAGTGAAAGAAGCAAGTGAAAACAACTGAACACCCGTAAAACCCACTGAAAGGCTTGGGAAGATGCACCTGCAGCCTCTTCTGTTTTTCCTGCCGTAGCTCGTGAAGTCCAACATGCTGGCCGTGGCAGGTCTCGCCCTCTTCGCACAGAGGCTCAGAAGGGAGCCCATGCAGTGAGCTGTATCCTATCTCCCCTCTCCCTTTTAGCAGGTATTTTATTATTTGATCTCCCTTGATGTCTCTTCTGTCGGTGATCACAGGGACATCGGGCACCATCTTAGGTTTACACAGTATGCAGCGGGGGATTTGAGTGATAGATCTGAGTACTGCAAAGAAAAGGGCTGGCGCAGAGAGACGGTAGCATGTCAGTAGTGTATAACTATACGTAGCTGGTCCCTGTGCCACAGCTTGCTATTCCTCCCCCTCCTCTGATGTTGGAGGTGGAGGAATAGCAAACTCTGGCACAAGGAACAGCATTGGAAGAGATTATGTGTTGGTGCAACTAACTTTCGTTAGTCATTTCTGAGAGAAGGGGCAAGTCGCTCACAGCTAGCTCTATTCGTTTTGACAGTGACTGGGAAGAGGATGGGAGGATCCCTAAAAGGCAGAGTTTTAAAGAGGAGGGCATTGATTTTGTGTTGAGGCTGGGTGCTGTGACCTGGATGCCGGCCTAGGACCCACGCAGCCAGGGAGAGGATGCTGGTAGCAAAGCTGCTCGCAGCCAGCCTTGCTCTGAGCATGAGGAGTGGCACGCAGGTTCTCACCGCACCATCGTGGTTGCACAATATACAGATTTTCTAATAACATGAGAGCATGCTACAAGGGTAGCAGTAGCTGGAGAAAAATGTCAGCCACAAGCAAAGAAACAAAACCTTTTATTAACCAGTAATGCAGGTAAGAAAAGATGGGGAAGGTGTACCAGGTTCAGTGTGAGACTGATGAAGATGGGTAATGAACTCTCATGTTTTAGACAGCAAACCATTTGTGAAAATACCACATTTTGAAGGTGATGTCTCCATGGACATCCATCAGCGTAAACAAGTAGGTGCTAACAGCATCCACACTAAATTATTAAAACAAGCAGGGAATACATGAAGTCGGAGACTTTGCAAAGTAATACTTTTTGTTTACTGATTCAAAAGATTTGAACAAAATGGAAGGAGATGATTGTCTGCCCAACTTTTAAAACAAAAGGCAAAGTTGTATACTTCTTGGCTTTGCGTGAAGTTTATCTTCGATATTTTATGTAGATTCGGTAGAGGAAAACTGCAGTTTTCTCAGAAAATATATCTTCTCTGGGTAAATTATTTTTAATAATTCTTCAAAAAGGATGGGGACGCAGCTAGAATATGTACAGATCCTGTATAGGTGCTGACATATGGTAGAAAGGCAGGGTGGCCCTTCAGTCACAGTGCTGGGACTTCAGATAAAGCTCTGAGGATGGCTGTGTGTATGTAAGCATGCACTCAGGTGCATTTGTTCATTTGATTTAAAAATTGGAGGCCGAATAAAAAGTGAAATCTATACTCCTTTGACATAAAGAGAGGTCTGGAGTAGGAAGATTTATGGCTTTGGAAATGGTGTTGCAGTTGTTATCAAATTCTCCTGTCCCTTTCTGTGAGCTTTTTGGATGTGTTTATACAAACTAATTGGATTCCCAGAGACCTGCATCTCACTCGTGGACGCTCCTAATACCTGGGCTCATGTGTGCCCTGCTAGCTCAGGGGGAGCACTTCACTGTGCTTCCTAGGCCTCCTCTTGCAGAAGTCGGGGTAGAGAGGAGAGGTTTATCTTAGTAACATAAGCTCAAGATGATGGATGACTTCTGGAAAGGTTTTTATAATTGGGCACACTGTGAGAGATTTAGTTTTGGCTAGGCTCAGGCGTTATCACTTGGGAGCGCTGAAAGTGGTTTGAGAGCGTGAAAGGAGGGGTGGTGTTGGGATCTCTGTTGGTAGGAGAAGGTCTGAGCAGAGAGGCGTATTGAACAGCAGGGTTTCTTGCACTGTGCAAACACCTCCCCATCACAAGGTCCTTACCCCGCTCTCCTACACTTCTAGCACACCCCATTGTGCAATGTCTTCAGCACACGGTCTCGCCTAATCGCGGGGATAAACCTTTGCTTGGGAGGCAGGTGATCATGACATGCTTTTGGACCGGCCCTATGCCAAGGCATGGCATCCTGGAGCTGTGTCCCGATGGTGCTTGTGCTAATCCACGTGCCGGAGAGCTGCAGCATCTCCAGAGGGGTGAAAGCTCTGCTGATGTGCCTGCTTCTGGCAGGGGATTGCAGTGGGTGCCCTGGGCTTGCTCCCTCTGGAAATTTTTCTGTGGTCCATGTGACAGGAGAAGGGGCTACATGGCCTATGGATGGTGCCTTCATTTCAGGTCTGAGCCCTCAGAGAGAGATGGGTGAGGAAAAGCTGCCTCAGTCTTCACCTCTGGTATTTAGGATGTTTGGTTTGGTTACTACCTCAGCTAGGGAAGTCTTTCTGAGTATTTGGGTTTTCTTTGTATTCCCACAATCCCTGCGTTTTTTTTCCCAAATCCACAAGGCTGTGTAATACCAGTAGGAATTTTAGTGCATATCATGATATTGGAGAGAGAAAAGGGCAGATGTGACATAATTTCCCTAAATTTAGATTTTTTTACATCACTTTAATTCCTGGTGTTTCTTTGCCTACTAGAAATAGGATATTCTTATGCAACACAGGAATAAAAGGTGTAAATTGCTGTTGTTCAGTTCAGCTATGATTTTTTGGATACACGCTTTTGAATGTGCTGACATTTGGGAGGGATAGGAAGGGGAATAAGCACCTGTTGCGTTGTCATATTCCCCCTCTATTCTCTGCTAGTCTCAGCTGTATTTCTTTTATATTAGCTCATCTAGAAAGGGCATGGGAAGGAAGAAGGAATGTGGAAAAAGACTCTGCTGGGAAAAGTCCAATATATTAAAAAATACTGTTGTAAGCTCAGGTAATATTTATCAATTTATCATCAGACATTTTGGGCTTATAAAATCTCATAATAAATTGATAAACCAGGTATCTCTAGTATTCTGCTGTGAAAAGAACCACACATAAAATGGAAAGGAAAAAAACAAAGAAGAGGAAAAGAGTCCGACTGCCAGCAATGTGGTAAATCTGGCCCTTGCTAACAGAGGAGGAGAAGTGATGCAGACTACTCCTCTAGGATGCGAATCCTGCTGAGTCTTCAGATCACAGGGTGACTTAACTTCGTGATGGACTTCAGCAGATCCTTGGGGAAACTGGAAATGAGAAAGCTCAGCAGTCCCGCTCCGCAGCTGAGCCTCCAGATCCAAGCGTAAGTGCGCGCTGAATACCACCCGTGCTGCTGGGTGCCGATTCAGAGCTGCTGGATTTTGTCACTTTCATTGCACAGGTATTACACTTGCAGGCCGTCGTAGATGTTAAGCAAAGCTTTGAGGAAGATAAAATTCAGCGCCAGAGGAAACAATCAAATCTCTGTTTACGTCAGGGAAGTGACAAGCAGTTATAGTCATACCAGGGGTAAACTTTGGCCTCTGTTTCTTTTTTTCTTCTCTTAAGTATCATGTTTTAATTGAATCTTTCAGATGATGAGGGTATTCATACCAGAGGGTTTGTTACAGATGCTGAGGAAAAAGCTTGAAAGATTGAAAACCTGCCTAAAGATATTGTTAAAATAGGTTATACTAAAGGAAAAAGGGGAGATATAGATAGAACAGTTCTGCGAGTGTATGTATTTGGGAAAGAAAATAGAGTTATCTCATGATGGGTGGTGAGGAGGTGAAAACTGGCGTTTCTCTAACAGCGTTCAGCAAAGGAAGAGTTTAAAAGGAAAAAACCCTTTCCTCCATGTCAATAAAAACGTCATCGTAAATTTTAAGGTAGAAATGAATGTGATGATTGCGTACAGCTAGGTTCGGTGAGACCCTAAGCGATGCAGCAGCCTGCTTGCAGTGCGGTGCAGAGGGATCTCTGGCAGCCGTTGGATGCTCAGTGGGGGCCAGTATCTCTTCAAGCTGCGTTGGGATATCGCTCCACTGGAAACCGTCAGTCAGCAAAACACTCAAGCAAGTGGCTAAGACTCAGCTTCAGTACTTGCTTAAAATCAAGGTTTGCTAAAAACCAATCTGTTGAGTTTCGAGCATATTCCTGAAAACCCGGCCGCCACCGCACTGCCTGCCAAGCGTTTTGCAAATCCTTCCCGTCCCCTCCACCGCCTGCCGATTCTCCCCGCCGTCCTCAGGTTAAGGAAGCGGGTGCCCGTTTGTCCCTTGACGCAAAGAAATCTCTCCTTGGTAATAGCAGCCATAAAACGCCTGCCGCACCCCGGGCACTGGGCGGGCGGCCGTGCCTCTCGTGGTCCTCGTCACAGCGCGTGTTTGCACAACGTAGTGACGGCGGCAAGGGCTGCCGCCGCTGTCGCCGCCTCCTGTGCGTCAGCCAGCGTGGGCCTGGGAGAGGCACATCAGACCCTGAGTTTAGGCTGGAAACTTGCCTTTTGAACTGAAAACCTGAGGTCCGTCCACTGACGAGCTCTGGGCAGTGAAAGGTCCACGCAGTTCCCCAATCCTTGTAACTGCACGCCAAGTTGAGATGCAGTTTTTATAAAAGCCTTACAGTCCCCCCACTGCAAAACCGATATTGCCCATCTGACCCAAACTTCTAGGATTTATTTGTTGTAATTTAAAATACCCACATCCCTGCTGGGGACATCAGAGTCTCTGGGCTCCTGTGCAGGAGGCAGAGGCTGCTGGTACTTGCGCCCAGTGTCTCCTCCACCCCGGGTGCCTCTGACCTGCACCTCGGGTTGCTTTCTGCTTCACTCCAAAGTTGTCTTACCCAAACGACCTTCCTCCCTGCACACCGCCTGGATCTCTTCAGCAGCTCTCCCACAGCAAAGCAGCCAGCTCTTCCCCCCGGCGACACTGGGGAGCCGTCCAGGGGCGACTCTGGCAGTGGCGGTGGGACCTGGTGGTACGGAAGTTACACGTGCCAGCCACCATAACAGGGTTCGACTCTAGGTTTCCGCTGAATCGATAAGCTGAAAGATAGATTCCTCTATAAGAGTACTTTTTATTCATAGCGCTACAGCTCGAGCTGGGTGCCTCCGAAGAGGGATCTCGAACAAAGAAATCCCCGGGCAGTTATATCTTTACAAGCTAAATTGCTCACCCCTCATGCGACAGTTCGGACCAGTAGTAATATTAGGGTCTGGGGTCTTCCCGTTTTTCACTGGGTCCTTTCATTGTCTCTAGGCGGGCCATTTCTTTTCTTATCTGTAAGGTTGCAGCTTCTGTTCATGAATGTAGCTTCCTATCTTCTGGCTTGAATCGGCTCTGGAGCCTTCTTTTACTTGACATATCGAGGTGAAAGTTCACAGCTTGCGGCCCGAGGCTTCAGCAAATTTAGCTACTAACGCTAAGCAAGTTAGGCTAAACAAGTTCTATGTAAGTAGCATACCAAATCTCGCCACACTGGCCAAAGACCTGGCTCCTTCTCACAAGCTGGCGCTCCAGCCCTGCGCCCCGTGCTGCGCCCTTGCAAGAGACATCCCCAAAAGCACAGTGGTGGCGGGCTGCCTTCCTCAGGCCGTGGCACTTTTGGGAAAGACACGCTAATTCTTAAAATAACCTTAGGAAGCAGCAGAAACATGGCAGACCTGAAGAATGGCGGCGTGAAGTCAGAAGGGGAGCAAGGACCTTGCTTCAAGATGTACAGCTGGCAAGGAGAGAGCTCATCGGGGTTCAGCGTCCTCCTGTTTCCCCTAAGTGAGGAGATACATGCCGCACCCCTGGTCACGTATGACTGTCCCCAGATGTTTGGCGCACCCAGTGGAAACACTCTTCGTGACCTCAGATGCCACAAATCAGTCACACAAATGTTCTCTGACATTATGGTGGAGCTAGCTTTTTCTAAATCGTTTTTATTCTCCAGAAAATTGGCTGCTAAGGTTTGGGATGGGACAACAACACATTTCTGGTTTGTCAGAAATATAATATATTATCTGCTTGAATTTCGCCAGAGGGAACGTGTTTATGCTTGCCTGCATGTTTCAAACTAACGTTTCCATTATGTGGGTATTTATCCCCCAGTGGCTTTGCTATTCAGAACTAGTGAAGTATGGCACATAAATATTTGGATAAAAAAAATACACCCTCACCTGAGTGCAGCTGGGTGCAGCGGAGCTATACCAGTGGGCCACAGCTGGGGATCTGAGTTATGGCATCCATAATTTATATAGAGACTGTAGGATCCCACCTCTGGATGCGTGTAGCTTGTAGATGCTACAGGGCATGAATATAACAGCTGAGGCTTTAAAGGTATTGATTTGCACTCCTGCCATTGCTATTGCAACATGACAGCATGAATCTGAGACACCCTGAGCCTGTTTAATAATTAACTAGATATGCCACAGCCCACAATACATATTTATCTCTCACCTGCCAGTGGGCATTTACTTTAAAAATATATGTATCATCCCTGTCTCTTCTTTTCTAGGACTGGTTCCTTACTAATTGTCCCTACATAAGGCAGATGCCCTTGACCAAAAGTTGCTCACCCTCGTGTTTGTGTTTAACTCTGATTTGGTTTCCTCATGGGTGGTGGCAGGGGGTGTTTGACAACCAGCGTGCGGGTCCGGGTGACGGGGGAGCCCCGGAGCCGCTGGGCAGCAGAGGTGCCTTTGCTGTGGCTGTCGTGCCGCCGTTCGTCACGGCCCAGCTCAAGCGCTTGCTGATGTTTCAGATGACGCCTCATGTTTTAGACTTGAGTAATAAATGTTTCATTTCCATTTCGCCAATGCTTTGAATTTATGGGCCTTGTTACTTAAGTCTGCTGGTACTTCAGGGGATCAAAATAGCGACAGTATACTCGCCCTCCCATCCAGGTTGTGGCGTGAACGTCTGTCACCATTACAGCCCAAAGAGTTGCTCTGCAGCATTTACCTCACCATCCAGTCAATGGCATCCGTGACTTTATTCTGCCTTGACCGTGAAATTATGGCTCTCCAGATGAAGAAAAGAGAGCATAGACTACTGCTCTGGAAATGCATTTTAAATTACAGATATTCTGTCCTCAGGCTTGGGACATGTACAATTTTGGAAATATTTTTTAATTTAGGAACCTTAATAAGCCAAGTGATATTTGCTTCCAAAAAGAAGAATAAAATCAATTGTTTTATTTTTGCTTCTATTTTTCTCTTGTCTTTATGAACAAAGGAATAAAAAGAGTTGTTACCTTTTCACAAGTTGCTTAAAAAAGAAGAAAAACTAGAATCTGTAATGTACCTCAAATTGGATATAAATAAAGGAAAAATACGTGCAGTTCTTTACTAACGTTACTTGTACACGTTACCCAAATGCTGTAATTATCACAAAGACATTTTGTCTATGGTCCTGAATAGGCGCAGAGAGGGAGAGTCGAAGAAGCCCACCTCCTCTGGTGCATGCTTTTACAAGCATTTGGGAATCTCATCAAAATCAGTCTTCAGTCAGGAGAGGCTAGTTGGTTAACTAAACTGTAATGTACTATTGTCTTATGAAAGTGGAAATATTCTATGGAATTTATTATACCTTAGCCTAATAAGCTTAATCCTATGGGATATTTTTATATTTTATGTATATTTATATATAGATATAATACATGTATTTAGACCTATATTGTCTATTTATTTCTAAATAAAAACATACACATAATATATTATTTTATATTTTTATATTTTAGTAACTTGCCTGTATGTACGTATACACATATATAGTGAAGTACGGTTATTTTGTTGATACGACTGACACATTTTCTACCTCCTTTAGTGACTGTCACGTGAGCTCCTCAAGGATAATGGACCCTAAGATGCGAGAGACTGAAGGAGATGGAGAGGACAATTCAGGTAGAATTGCTCCCTTCCCCAGTGAATGAGAAGTGCTGTGACTTCTTGAGCTTCAGTGCCTTAGCTCTATCATAGAAGTGAATCTGTTTGTTTAGAGAATGCATTCTCCCTTTCTCTCCTCCTGTCTCCAAGAGCTGTTATATTTTTGACATTTTCAGAGGCTTGAAATAAGATTTTTGTAGCATCTTGTGACCAAGTTAACTTTTTTACCCGGCAAGATCCAACGCTAAGTGAAATGTTGTCAGGGATGCCTCGCAGTGCTGTCATGCCAACTCATATGGGACAGGCACAAGTTGTTAGGATGTCTTGTGCAAAACGCTGATTTCATTTTAAGTAGTTTCCTTCACAGAGCTTGCAACTGATCCTAATTCAGGTCTTTCCTCACTGAGCAGACTAGCATTGCTGTTGAAGATGATTGCTTGATTTCTAGTTTAATACTTTGTGATCCATTGAGTCTCGTAATTAGCATTCAAAATATTCTGGATGTATTATAAAACTGACATTTTAAAAGCATTAGCCTCTCGACACTGCACATTCCACCTATGTAAGCCTTTTCTACATTTGAATTGGTTTTGGTAAAATTGTCCTTATCATCACTATTTAGCTTGCTGAACAAAGGCAATGGGTTTCCAAGTTGTAATTTCTTCTCTGTACGCCAGGCTGTTAATACCAAAGTTTTTCTTCACAGTCTAATTCTCTCAAGAGGCAAGTAGAAACTCCTATTAGGAAAGATTCTACACTGTAGGTTATTTCTTATGTGTCATAAACATTGCAATCCATTCTCCAAGCTAATATTAATTTTATGCTATCAATAGAGTCTTGAAAGACATTAATGCAAGAGCAGACTGTGTTGCATTTTCCAGGAAAAAAATCCACTTATGCAGAAATTACAAAGGAATTATTATTGTTCCAAAAACTTGCACATGCTGCTGGTTGCATCTTCTTTATGTTTCTTCACTTAGGAAAGAAAAAATCAAAGTTCAAATCTTTCAAAAAGTTTTTTGGTAAAAAGAAAAGGAAAGAGACGTCGTCTTCTGGGAGCAGCAATCTGAAGTTATTCCAGTCAACAAGTGATGTCGCGGCCTCTCACGACATGCGTGTTAATTATGATTCTGAAGATGAACTTGAGTAAGTCTTTGGACTCTGGCTGGTAAACAAATACAGAACGGCTACAATGTTTGTAGATTAAAGACACCCCAAAATTGCCTCCTCCTCTTGTTCAGAATGCTGCATTCTCAAAACAGTTGTCTTTTTCAGGAAAGTACAAATTAAAATGGCTGATGCAAGACAAATTGCAAGGGAATTGGATGGTGTGCAGCAAGAGATAATAACTAAAAAAGCTTTCATTTAAGCAAAAATAAGCCTTGGGTTATCTTTTCGAAAGAATGTAATTGCCATCTTCAAAAATGAATTAGGTACTCAGCTTATATCTTACCAGGATTGTCTTATGCCCCTAAGATGTAACTCCTAAGGATTTTTAAAGAAATCTAGATGCCTAACCATTTACGCCAGGTTTTGACAGCAAGGAAGGGATAAGGAGATGACTGCAACTGAAATCAGGAGGAACCAGAGGCTGTGAAGCCTTTATTTCCTCCGTGTACATGGGATTCATCTGAC